ATTTTTCGCGTCAACAAGAAAAAAAGTGTAACTTTAATATTATAATTATATATTACTTTTAGTATATAGTTATAAATCGCTAAAACAACATAAGTTAGATCCTCCAAAAGGACAAATCATTTATCCTTTTCTAAAATCACAAGTTCTCTAATTAATTTAATTTTTCTTTTATGTTTAACATTTCTCAATTTATTCAAATATTATTTTATGTTTGGTTCGAGTAAGACACGGTATATACAGGAGAAAAGGAACGCAGTGCATTCTAATATTTAAATTTGCACACTCTCAGGGGCGTTTGATTGAGGAATTTTTTTTTAAATAGTAGGGAAATGTAATAGATAGAAAAATGATTGGAAAGATAGATAAAGTGAGATAGGTAGACAAATGTAAAAAAAAATTGTTTGGTGGGGAAAAACTTTACTGAAAAAATTAGGTAACTTTATGAAATAACAGTGCATTAAAAGCCAGATAATCGGTTTTCCAAAAAATCCCACCTTCAAATTGGGTTTCTAAACAGTGCGGATATCTATGTTTCTCATAAATCCAGACAAATTGGATAGATGGATTTTAGGTGAAATACGTTCAAACAAACATGGTGTTTCTAAAAGTCATACTTGAGAAATATAGATATCCGCTGAAAAGCTACCAACCAAACACCACCTTATTGCATATCTTACACCTTTACCAACCGAGTTATGGGAGTAATCTCAGAGAAACTTATTTATATATTCTTATCACAAGATTAAGATTAAAATAAAAAATTATAAAAATATTATTGATTACTTTTTTTTGTACTTTTAAGGATATTTTACTAATGTGTTTTTTTCTAACAAAACATGTCTTATTGTTAAGTAAAGTAATATAAAATACTTGGTCATGGTCACTATTTTCCTCCACCTATCCTCCAGTTTTTAGGAGAATAATTGTTCGAAGCTAATTAAATTGATGAAGTTTCCTTTTTAAAATTATTCCTCCAACCAAATAAGAGAATATTGAATTCCCATCCATTTGTAAAATACTCAGGTCATGATCTGTGAATTAAGTGTTGAGATATATAATCCCACATTAGTTGTATGTGCAACTAATGTGGAGTTTATAAGGTCTTGGACACTCTCACCCTTTGAGCTAGCTTTTAGGGTGGTGTATCCCAAGGTTCTTTACCTGGTATTAGAGCCTCGCCGCCCCCCACTTTCTCTTGTGGTGTTTCTTAGCACAGGTAGGCTGGGCCTGTTGCATTGTCCACTCTTCAAGCCCAATAGGCTCTCGTGTGAGGGGGTGTGTTGAGATATATAGTCTCACATTAGTTGTATGTGCAACTAATGTGGAGTTTATAAGGTTTTGGGCGCTCCCACCCTTTGAGCTAGCTTTTGGGATAGTGTATCCCAAAGTTCTTTACATTAATCTTGTAGGTTACTCAGTTATTTATTACAAATGTGCCTCACATACTTTTGTTGAATTCACTCTACCAATCCCCACCTCACTTATACACCTTTTTACTGTATATTTTTATAGATTCTTGCCTTTTATGAAATCTGTTCATATTCTTTTTTCGTGTGGGTTCTTTACTTTGTTCTCTTGACGCTGGACTCCAACATCAACGAACATGTCCATTTACATCTGGCCAGTAGAAAAACGATGTGTGTCATTAAAAGCACCTGGAATTTATGCTCCCATCCACATATTGACAGAATATGATTCTATACTTTCATAAACAATATATATCGTTAATGTAAGAACATGAATAAAATCCATATCCCTGTTGATTGATTTCACATAAAGTTGCATATGGTTGTCTATGCACACAAAGTATGAATCTATTAAAAATCAATTCAATTTAAAAATTTAAGGTGATAAGTAATGACTGCTTTAATATTTTTGACATAACCCAGAGCTTTTAAACTTGAAGATGGATAATGCAAGAGTTCATTTTTTTTATTTAATTACCTTGTGCTGATCGACTTGATTTTAAATTCTCATACAAGCAATTAATTCAACTCAACATGTTATTAAAGTGATAATGACATTGATAGTTTTATTTTAATAACTCTTTTTTGATTGAAAAAGGTCAAATGTTGAAATATGAGAAACAATCTCTTTACAAAAATGTATGCATAAAACTGCTTAAAAGGATTGTTTTGATAAGGTTTAACCGAGAGTTAACTTTTTTTTATCTCTAAGAGAAAGATTTGTCTTTTTAGATTTTTTGTTTGAGGCGGTGGGAGCTTCTAATCATTTTTTCTATATAAGGAGATGTTCTAGGAGATTTCAAATTGAAGGAGTTCTCAGAACCAAAAGAGAAAGAGAGAGAGGGAGTGTGTGTTTGAGTGCTAAAAGCCATGGGAGAGTATGGTTACGCATATCGGGGCTACTCCAACTTCAATACTGTGAGAGCTGAAACCCGAGGGCCTGTTATAAAGCCATTTGTTCCATCCATTCCCAACACCAACAATAACTCTGAGGGAATTGTTACCAAAAAAATAATAGTCCCAGTTGGTAGCAGCAGGCCTTATGGTGATGATGATTACAACAAACATAGCCCTCAAACAGAGGCTTATCCCATTAGAGTTGATGATAAAAGGTATCCACAAACAAGCCCGGTTCGTGAATCCCCACGTAAAGCTGAAGAGTTCCTAACCAAGTTGCAGAATGAAGCTAGCCGTCCACCATGGTTGCCTCCAATGACTTCAACTGATTGGCGCCAATCCACACAACCAACACCTTATAATAATGGTGCTAATGGTTATGCTGACTACGGCAATGGAAGCAACAACGAAGGGCGCAAACCGGTTGCAAGTACCATCAGAAATGATAACTATGATGGTTATAATGGTACTAATGGCTATGGTGACTATGGTAGCAACAAAGAAGGGCGCAACCCCATTGGAGGTACCATTAGGAATGACAATCATGATGGTTATTATAATGGTACTAATGATGGCTATGGTAACTATGGCAACAAAGAAGGGCGCAAGCCTATTGGAAGTACCATTAGGAATGACAACTATGGTGGTTATAATGGTCCTAATGGCTATGGTGAGTACAACAACAAAGAAGGACGCAAGCCATTTGGAAGTACCCTTAGGAATGAAAACTATGGTGATAATGAATATGGTGACTACAACAACAAAGAAGTGCAAAGGCCAAAATATAGTTCAGGTTGGACAGCAGCACCAAGAAAAGGGACCCAACTAAGTGAGCCAACACATGATATTGGGAAGGCCATTGAATTGTTGAAGAAAGCGGCAAAGGAGACCTCTAATAATAATAATAATGAGCATAGCAACAAGGGAGGGCACAAAGCTACAGGTAATGTTTCTTGGCTTGGTGAGTCAACAAACAAAGTTGAAAAGGGCATGGAGCTTGTGAAGGAAGCTGACAGGTTCAAAAACATTGTAACTGGTCCTCCTCGTTATGCTGATTACAGGGATGATTCGATCATAGACAGTAGGAAGGCTGAAAAGATTTTTAAAGGCAAGAAGGTCTGAAAAGCCCTATATATATCTATATATACACAATATTATGTATTGAGTTTAAAGTCAGTTAACCTTTTTTTTTTTTTTCCCTTTAAGTTCTATATGTGTAACCTTTCTGTTGGTGTGATTCGTGTATGTACCTCGTTTTTAGAGGCAAAATCGTGTAAGATATAAAATGTAAGGATTAAATAAATATGTGGAGTGCTAGTTAATTAGCAATCCTTTCTTTGTGGCTCTTGTCTATGAACTGCCTCTGTTTCTACACTAAATGGATTTTATGAAGAGCGTAATTCTGCAATAAAAAAAAGTATGATTACAGTCCTAGCCTGTTTAGAAACACAATATAACTATTAACTGCAAAAGGATTTAGAAATTTATATGATATTTGAGGTAAAATAAGTATGCATGTCTGCCACTCTTCATATGCCCCTTCTACAATTTATCTTCTTTTAATAATGAATCCTACTGAACCATTTGCCTTTTCATATATGCTCTATAGAAGTATGCTTCCAATCACGGCAAGTAGAAGTTTTTGGGTATGTGTATACTTAATATGGAAGGAAAACCAGAGTCTGAAAAGAATAAATTATTAAGGATAGTGCCACATCTTGATAATAATCATGCTTGTTGCTCTGTCTGGCGTGGATATAAATCTAATTTCATTCAAATAAAGCCAACCTCAACGTTTTTGTTAATAATCTGTTTTGAGTCATCCAGAAGTTTAATGATTGACTCATAAATATCTAAAGATTTTTTTATTTTTATTTTTGACAAAGCAGTGTAAATAGCACTGACCACTCGCGTTAAAATATCACAATTATTAAGACCTTTTTAATTAGTTTACTGCTTGATGAAAATTAAGATTTGAATTATAATTAAATTTGGTAAGAAGGGTTTAACCCCTCCTCTGATTCTGCTCAATATTATCAGCTTAGAGTAGTTGATTAATTAGTATAAAAAATTGAATTATAATTGTATTTTTAAATTAATGAAATTTTAAATTTAAACCATACGCTCTAAGTTGATAATCTGATTAAAAAATAATAAAGATGAGATTTTTCAAAAATAATTTATTATAAAACATATTTTTGAAATGGTTAATACTTAATATCATTAAGAGTAAATATCATTTTCGCTCCTCAGCAAATTTTACGATGCACGCTTTAGTCTTTACTAAATAAAAAGACTATTTGTGATCCTTAAAAAATTCAAAATACATTTATTTTAGTCTTTTTGAGATATTAATGTGGATCTTTTTTGAATTTGTAAAAAATTATTATTTTAACTAAATGGGTCCATTTTAAATTTTTTAAGAATCACGAATAACCTTTTTAATTACTTTATACTAGTGAAATTTGATTAATACGAAAAAAAATAAATTTACTCTATCATTAAAAGTGGAATGCGTGAACTCTGAAGTATATTTATTTATCACATCTGCAACAAACAAACGGCAACGTGTTGATTACCTATTTCATTTTTCAACCACAAAACAAAACCATGTTTGTTTGACAATAACATACAAAAACTTTCCATTTTATTTTCATATTAAAAAGCTCACTTCGCTAGATACAAAATTAGAATCGCAGTGGCATCAATTTCAGAGTTCACTTTCTCGGGAAATTTCTCTCAAATGTGCGAAGATTTAGAGCACCCGTTCGCTCACACCCAGATCCTTTCTCTCTAGGCTTTGTGGAGTTATTTGAAAAGGTCTGCTTCGATGCTTTCTTCCTTAAAATTCAAGTATTTTTTTCAACTTTTTGTATAATTGCTTGTTACCAATGGGTTCTGATATTGGTTGTTACTAATGGGTAGTTGGTAGGTGCTGATTAAATGTAAGATAAAGCGTTGTAAATTAGTTATATTTAATTTTTGACTTGCTTCAATTATAGTTATTTTCTAGAATTTCTTTGTGGAATTGTGATTATACATTTGGCATTTATTTTGAGCATTTCTTGGTACCTAGTTAAAAAAATATAATATTGATTCTATTTGCATCTGTTTATATTTATTCCTGAAAAGGTTTAGTGGAAAACTGGAATATGTATAAGAAAATATCTGAAACTACTGTACTTTCAGTATTAGCCATGTTATATAGAAATGAAATTAAATTTGAGCATGGCCCAAAGAATACTTTGTTATATAGTTAAAGTTTATCGTTACCATCGTCTCATGAGTCATGTTATGAATGTTACTCTAGTTTCTTTTAGTTTGCAGAAATAATCTTAAATTGCACACCTGCAAGCATGTACCCAAGGAGGATGGTATTATTTGGGGGAAGAGCATGCTTGATCTTAGGCATTTTTGGAAACATATATATAATTTTGGAGAATCTTAGATGTTTCAAATGTTGTTTGCGCATTAATTTAGTTAAACAGTTGAAATCTTGGTAGCCTGTGTGACTTGCTGACATAGTTGAAGAGTTTTCCTTGTTTTCCCCTTTCTTCTTCCGTAAAGAGTGTGATGTGATGTTAGCATAGGACGCCAGACTGATCTGTGGTTTTATTATTCAATCAAACAGAGAAAAAGATAGGGCAGGTAATAATATGTTGCTCACTTCTAGTATGTAGCAAGTTGATAACTTTCCTATCATATTCTCATACATAATTGTTATGATATTTATGTATTACTGCGTTGGGATGGAATATTTTATTTTGCCTTTCTTTTGAGCATCTCACATGGAGTGAAAACTCCTCAAATTGTTCATTGACTGAACTGTTTCTCAGATGAACAGAAGTTTCTTATTGCTTCCCCCCTTCCTCCTGCCCCTTCTCTTAAAATTAGGAAATATTATATTCCTTTTCACCTTAGGCCTGTGGGTTCATTCGTGTGCAGACATGTATAAGAACCAGTTGCAAGAGTTGGCTCAAAGAAGCTGTTTCAATTTTCCAGCCTATTCATGCATCCGCGAAGGACCAGATCATGCTCCTCGTTTTAAAGCAACTGTGAACTTTAGTGGAGAGACATTTGAAAGTCCTACATTCTGCTCTACTCTTAGACAGGCAGAACATGCAGCAGCTGAGGTAGCTCTTAACACCCTTGCAAAAAGAGGTCCTTCTAGAGCTTTAGCAGCAAGAGTTCTGGTGAGCAATGGGATTCTTTTTATTTTTTATCACTTTCCCCCCTCATTTCCAGATTTAAACTGTTTCTCTCTTTTTTTGAAATCACTTGATTGACTTGTCATGGGTGATTGATTCTCACTGATGTATAATACTTTTGAATACTAAATCAAATGATCACAAGGCCCGACAGTTTTATGCAGTAAATATGAATTATGAAGTCATAGGTGAAAAGTTTTGGCAGAAAAAATTAAATTGAAAAGAAAAATTAAACAGCAGAAAGGTTCTAATTGAACTCTTTCATTCAATGGTAGCTTCTCAACTTCAATACTTTTGGTATTTTGATATCTGACAGGATGAAACTGGAGTATACAAGAATTTGCTCCAGGAAACTGCTCACAGAGCTGGACTGAACCTTCCTGTTTATACTACTATTCGTTCTGGACCTGGTCACGTTCCTTCCTTCTCATGTACAGTTGAGATTGCTGGACTGAATTTTTCTGGGGACCCAGCTAGGACCAAGAAACAGGCTCAGAAGAATGCTGCAATATCTGCTTGGTCTGCATTGAGAAAATGTGAGCATCATGCTGCTGTTATTATATCTTTCTTATTCAAGTTGTATAGTCATTTCCACTTTGGGGTCTGTAGTTGAGACATTTTCTGTAGAAGAACTTCGGTTCTTTTTCTTATCAACATACCATTTTTTTAACATTATTTGGCTTCTGTTTTTCTTTTAGTTTCCAGGACTTGACTTTATTTTCATTGTTTTAAAACCTGTTTAGTGTCACAGCATCATTTGTCTTCTTCAACTTCATCCTCACTTCCTTCAGAGTCTAAAGGCAATGAAGAACAAGAACAAGTCATCATTGCTCGGGTTCTTTCAAGTCTACAGTCATCAGATTTCAAGAACGTTTCAGAAAGTGATTACCAACATACATTGCAAAAGTCCAATACAAGGTCTTTTGTGTCAACCCTGCCAGCTCCAGGCATTTATCCTCCACAATGTCAGCATTGTGGACACTCTAGTTTTTTCCCTGATGTGACCATGTATCAGATTTGGCAGCAAGAACAAATTATACTGCAGCAGAATCACCTGTTGGCACTAACCGTTCCCCCAATAATTCCATCTGTTCCACATATATATCCATTTGTGCAATCTGTGCTCCAGCCAGACCACTGTCTTTATTTTCCAGCTAGAGACTTAGCATCAGTACCCGTAGGACCAAAATTTTCTATTGCTACGTCAAGGCCTTCATTTTACTTTTCAAACCAAATTGTTCCCGACTTAAGAAGGGGTAGATCAACAGTAACCATTAGGGAGATACAAGAGGAAAAAGCAGAAGATCCCCCAGTTTGCAACTTCAGTAATGAGACAAGGTTCCAAGCACCAGCTTCAAAGGATGAGAGACAGAAGCATGGTGGCTCTGAGAGAAGTAGAGATGTTCAGCTGGGAGGAGAACAAAGTGGGACATCTGAATGGGCTTCTCATTGGAGAACAGGCTCTGTATACAGACCAGTTAATATTGAGCTGCAAAACCCATCTAGTATTGACACATCTAGTTCTATTCTCAGAACACACTCAAAAACAAGTTCCAACAGAAGTTTTAGACCGCCTGCAGTTGCTTCACCGATGATGAGAACCACGGTCCCTGCTTCTTCTGCAGTTTCCAGACCACAACATAGGGAAGTACCTCTGGCTGTTCCTTCAAGAATGAGAACTGGAGTCCCTCCATGTCCATCCTTGCCCACGTCTGAAAGGTTTGGCATGGTGGGAGCACATACTCCTCGGTTCATGGCACCGGCTGTAAGAATCAGATCAGTGGTGCCAGTCTGCTCTGCTCCTCCAAGAATGTCCATTGAGGAGGCATCAGAAAACGAGGAAAAGAAAGGTCTAAAAACTGAAGTGGAGTCGAGAACAAGCTCTGAACTTGGCAATCTTAGAATATGAGTATACATACTACAGATGTTATATTTTGAAGTTCAAAAGTTTAGTTCATGCCAATATGATGATGCTCTTCGAGGGCAGTTGATTCTTTTTCATATTAACTGAAATGAATCGGCTTTTCCTTGATCATCTTTTGTAAAGTAATAAATGTGAAATATATCATTTGAATTTAATATATCAAATTAGGGGATCAGAAGTAATCTTGCCAACATTTGTTTTTGTGGCAAATGGATTGCGGGTATGTAACTCCCTATAAACTTAGTTCCAATTTTATAATTCAAATGATTTTAGTAATGGACTTATATGCTAAAATGCTCAAATTAGTGTGTAGTGTTGTTTGTTAATATGATTGAGCAAATATTTAAATGAACGTAGTTAGCCTAAACCTAACGTAATTAACGATTTGAGATATTTTTTCTCTTGTACCTGCCATAGAAAAAAGAAAAAGAAAAACTCACCTAGGCATTTAAAGGTTATGTTTATCTCATTTTACATGAGATAAACAACTTTCTTACACACACAAAAAAAAGTTGGATCTCACCATTTTTTTTCTCTCTCCTCTTACCTGTGGGTCCCACTTATATTTTTATTTCTACAACATGAAATAATTTTTTTCTACAACATAAAAAAAAAATATGCTGGCGAATAAACATCAGCATAGCCAGCTACTAGAGAAAAGACATGAAGCTAAAAGGAGGAAGATTCCATTTGAGCAAAAGTTTAAAGTTTTCCATTTACCCCCAAAAAAAAAAATAGTTTATATTTTTCCTTTATTGCAAGGGGCATGTTAACTAACAGTTTATCCTTAAAGCAAAAAAAAAAAAATTAAATTAAATTAATCAAAAAAAATATGTATTCATCATTTATGATTTTATTATTATATATTTTTGGTAAATATTACAATTTAATATAAAAGATATAGAGCTCCAGATTTAAAATTTTTATATTTACCATTTGACAAGAGCTAGAACTTTAACTCATTAATTTCTTTTTTAAATATTAGTCAGGCTATAAATCAATAATTTCAAATGACTTTTGTTGCGTATTCTTGAAAACTATTCCCCCTCGAAGTTGAAAAACATTGATAAGTTGCATGTGGATGTGTGATTTTGGATGTGATTCCCATTACACCAATTAAGTTATATGGATCCCCATTTTATCACCCCCAAAAAGACAAAAAATTAAGTTGTATGGAATAATTTTAAAATGGATATGAAAAATGCACATCATCTGCCTAATCACTATGAACATTAAACCAAGTTAGCACGATTGGTTCGTTTTCTCCTAAGGAAGTAAATGAAGTAAAATACTAATTAATAATATGATTCCCTCTTCTAGTTAATTTTGTTTTTGATTTGGGCCTTGAATCCCTTGATCCCTCCCACCCCACTTACTAAAAAGAAATGCTAAACTAAATAGTAATACTACCCATTGGTTTATTTAAGTCTTTGTGAGAAAGAGATTTGGGTGTTTGACTTTTTGTGATTGTAGGAAGATCTCATCTTCCCTATATTCTTTCTCTTGTCTGAGAGCCAGAAAAGACTGCTAAAGACCAAACACAAACAGCACAGGAAAACAACATCACCAAACAACACACATCCTCTGTCTCTCTTCAGAGACAAGACAACTATCTCCTCTTTATACAAATCTCAGCTCCAATTACTGTTACTGTAAGACTCTCTCTCTCTCTCTGTCTCTCTCTCTCTTCTTTGCTACATAACACAACCTTTTCTGTTTTTGTTCTTTGCCCCTTTTCTTTCTAAACCCATCACGTGCTCTATCTGAAAAACAAAACAAAAATGAAATTTTTTCATTTTTCAACTAAATCTGCTACCTTTGACCTCTAACTGAAGTTTAAAAGGATTACTGATTCTGTTTGTGCTCGTGCACCTTGTGGGCCAATGATCATTAAAAACCTGAACAAGTTTTACTTTTGATTTCAAATTCTTCTCATCACATGATGCATAATTTTGATGCTTTCACGGGATGATGTCACTAATTGTAGTTGGATTACCAAGTTAATTAAGGGTAAAAGTATGTTATTCATTCATAATCGTAATCGTAATCGAAATCTTGTTTTTTTACTGGATTGATTTGGTGATTGTTTTGATAAGCAGAAGCCCTTACATAAACAAACATGTCAAGGAAATGAAGCTTAGATTGGAGGAGAAATGGGGTGTGTGATTAGCCGAGAAGTGTCATCAGGAGTAGTCTCTGAGGTGAAGGAGGAAAAGAGTTTGAAGGTTGAGTCCAACAAGAAGGTTGATGAAGTGTCCACGAGCAGAGCTGAGGGGAGTATAGGAGAGGTTCAGAATGGTGAGAAGGAGAAGGAGAAGGATAAGGAGAAGGAAGAGAAGGGTGGTGATGATGGGGTTCAGCGGCCAAGGGGTGAAAGAAGAAGATCAAAGCCAAACCCAAGGCTAAGTAATCCACCTAAGCATTTGCAGGGGGAGCAAGTAGCAGCTGGGTGGCCACCTTGGCTTACAACAGTGTGTGGGGAAGCACTTAGTGGGTGGATTCCGCGAAAGGCTGATACATTTGAGAAAATTGATAAGGTAGGTTTGTATTTACTGGCAAAAATTTTGAACTTTTAATTTTTTGGGTGAATGTGTTACATTTAACTTGAAATGGAAATGCATTTGATGGGTCATGCCATATAAGGGATATTTGATAGGGTTTGAAGATCATCAATGCAGATTATGATTGATTGATGTTAGATATAATATAAATATGTAATGTTAGAGAGATATAATAAAATCTTTCCATGTGTTCACCCTAAAATGACATAATATCAAAGCCTCTATAACCAAATGGTCTAGAGTTTGATATTTGTCGTCCCTATTCTTCTAATAAAAAAAAATTTGAGTTTCAACGCTAGGTAGGTGGGCTGTGAATTATCTAAACTCATGATGCATTATTGAAATGATCAATTTGTGGGCAGGGTTAAAAAGTATGTAGCCTGCATTATTTTAGTCAGAACAACTTACATATTATAAAACCTCTCATTTGCTTCTTCTTAGAACTTTTCTTCTCTTCTCATACTTGTTTTCCTTTTTTAATTCTCCCTTCATACTAGATCGGTCAAGGAACATATAGTAATGTGTACAAAGCTAAAGACATGTTGACGGGTAAGATTGTTGCACTGAAGAAGGTTCGATTTGACAATTTGGAACCTGAAAGCGTAAAATTCATGGCTAGAGAGATTCTTATTTTGCGAAGATTGGATCATCCCAATGTTATAAAGCTAGAAGGTTTAGTTACATCTAGAATGTCCTGGAGTTTGTATCTGGTGTTTGAATACATGGTGCATGATTTAGCTGGACTTGCTGCAAGCCCAGACATCAAGTTCACAGAACCTCAGGTTAGACCAGCCTTGATAATTTAAGAAATAAAACAGATATCCTTTGCTATACTTTCTTTTCAATTGGCTATATTTGATGTCTCCAAATACTATGTGTCTCCTACTGTAGGTCAAATGTTACATGCATCAACTGCTATCAGGACTTGAGCACTGTCATAATCAACATGTACTTCACCGTGATATTAAAGGATCGAATCTTCTTATTGACAACGAAGGAATACTTAAAATTGCTGACTTTGGACTTGCATCTTTCTTTGATCCAAACCACAGGCATCCCCTGACTAATCGAGTAGTTACCCTTTGGTACCGGCCTCTTGAGTTGCTTCTTGGTGCCACAGATTATGGTGTGGGTGTTGACCTTTGGAGTGCTGGTTGCATTTTAGGAGAGTTATTGGCTGGGAAACCAATTATGCCTGGCCGTACAGAGGTGAAAACTTAAAATGTCTTGTTTTTGGCTTATAGAATTTTTCATTTCCTTCAATCTCTGCCTAACAGTTATTGTAGTTCTTGACATTTGAATCAGTCAAAAAGAAGTTACATATCCTAATGGAAGAGTCTGCTTTTTAAACATGCATGTATGAACCCTTGCCTACTGCATTGCAACCTCTCCCCTCTCCCTAAAACCCTCTCTTCTCACAGGGGTAAGACCGTGTACAGTTGACCTTGAACCTCATGCGCTGTACTGCCCTTTAGAAGGTCTGCATTGTGCATATCTGCAATGTCTATGAAGACATGCAATCAATGAGAAATCAACTAAAAAAGCTTAAGAAATAACCAAGAGCTGAGTTGCTGCATGACTTGATAAACCATTGTAGTGATTGTGCTACATACACAACTGCATATGCCACTGTTGAGCTTCAAAACATTATTTGTGAAAGTGGAATAAGTCAAATTGAAGCCCAGATTATGTAAAAGCCAGTAGATGGAAGAGATTGCAACTACTTGTTAGCTCTTCTACTCTCTCCAATCTCTGGGGATAATTGCTTCATTACCTGCTCAATGAACAATTGCTTTTCATTGCAGCATTTGTATCCTTGGCTTTAGGTCCCTTGTTCTAGCTGTTTAATGTAGATGTACTTTTGAAAACAAAATCTGGGTAAAAAGGAGATGCAAATTTTAGAATTCTATATAAGGGAGCATGACTATTATAGGGTTGCTAAATTATGGTCACCAGGATATTTCTTTGAAAAATTCGGCGGGTGAATAAAGTGGTGGAGCACAAGTGGATGTTATAAAGTCATAGCTTGCCCGTATCATTTAGTTGTAGGTTAAAGATAAATCAAGTAATGTACCCTCAAAAGTAGAAGGATAATGAAGGCATGCATTTGTAAAAATTTAGAGGTACTAGTGGTTATGACAAAAGTAATCGTAATTTCGGTTCAATTATATGATTGTGCAATCTGGACTGATAACTATGAAATTACGTTCTCTACAATGAGTACTAGATTTTTGTTTTATTTAAATGCATCTCCAATCCTTTTTTTAGTAAATTGCCCTTTTCAAGTGGCGTACTAGATCTTATGTTTAGTTCTAATATCTCTTGTATAGTTTGAAGGAATTTGTATTGCATTAAGGATATATTGCTTGCATTTTATTTGCTGGTTATTTGAAATCTCAATTGGATATTTTCTGACCCTTTTCTTGAATACTTACGCAGGTGGAACAACTGCATAAGATATACAAACTTTGTGGTTCGCCTTCTGATGAGTATTGGAAGAAGTCAAAGTTGCCAAATGCTACCTTGTTTAAACCTCGAGAGCCATACAAGAGATGCATAAGAGAGACATTTAAAGATTTTCCACCTTCTGCGCTGCCCCTTCTTGATACTCTTCTTGCAATTGATCCAGCAGAACGGAAGAATGCCTCAGATGCTCTTAAAAGTGAGGTGGGCTTTTGAAAATTCCTGACCTTTCTGTTACTAAAATGCTGACGTGATGATTTTAAATTTTGTACTGCCTTGTTATTTATATTATGATTCCATGCCACTTAGTATATCTTAATCTGTTGGATCTTGATCTATTGTTGGTGCATATAGATTCCCTGAAATACATACTTGAAACCCTTCTGTGAAACATACTATAAGCTGCAAGTTGAACTTCGTGAAGCCCTATGAATTATTTATGATGCATAACTAGTTTTACCAGGCAGTATGATCCTTAGCTACAATGATTTCCAGTGGATTCTTCTGATGTTGACAACATATCTTCTAGGAGCCTGGTTCTTCAGCTTCTTGTCTTGGGTATCTTATACAAAAAGTGTGCTTGAATGTTGTCCGAGGAAAACCTTGTACTTCTATATTAGCCTGATGATGTGCCTCTCTCTTAAAATTTGTTTAATTTAGAATATGTATCCCTTCTTGGAATAGGATAAAAAAGTTTGATTTGATATAAAATGGTTTGTGTCTGGGACTCTGGGTTACCTTGGAAGTCAATTCGCTGTCTTCTTTTCTTTGGAAAAATAAGTAGATAAAGGTCCTAAATGTTGGAATGAATGGCATGTTTTAAATGATCATGATAAAGTATGTGGGCATTCCAAAATTAATGTTAATAAAATGAAATTTCTCTTGAATCTGATGTAGATGTTTTCTTTGTTGAATTGGGATGTTATTTTTTAAAACCAAACCCATATACATTTACTTTGCTTGTCTATCCTATTATTTTGCAGTTCTTTACCACAGAACCTTATGCTTGTGATCCTTCTAGCCTTCCAAAATATCCTCCAACCAAGGAAATCGATGTTAAACGACGGGATGATGAAGCAAGGAGGTATTTGTGCACTTATTTTTGCTTTATGCATACTAGAAGTGAGGCACACGCTAAATATGTGTGAATATATAAAAGATTTATATAATTTTTTTTTAAAAAAGTGATTAGGGGAGAGAAAGTGGGAGGAAGACATGGACATTAAGGAGAAAATGTAAGGTGCTGTTATCTGAAACAATTCTATTTTATATAATTTCAATTATTCAATGACATTTATAACCTTATATTTTTTATTAACTTACATATATTTTAATAATAATGACTCTTTGGGAACCTTTGGGACTAAAAGTGGAGACTGAAAAACTGTTTGTATGTTCTTTTTGTTAACAACATTGATATGGGTGGTGAACTATATTTAAGCATGCTTTAATCCTGCTTCAACTTATACACACACACACAGTGACACCAACATTTATAGAGATTAATAGAGTGAAAAGTGCCCTTCGTTCTTTTGGGTTAACATCTGCAAGTTATAATTTAGCCATCTTATTATATTTGACTAACTCTGAGATACTCTTTGAATATGAATGTCCAGATCAAGAGCTCCAGGCAAAGCTCATGTTGATGGTGCGAAGAAGCATCGAACACGTGATCGTGCTGTAAAAGCTGCTCCTGAAGCCAATGCTGAGCTTCAATACAATATTGATGTATGTTAAAAAAAAAATTACTTCTATTTGTAATGACTAATCATGGTATATGCTTGATGCGTTGGTTTATGATGCCACTCAATAGATGTTTTGAAATTATTATACCTTCCAAGAATGCATAACTAAATGAAATGATTGAGAGAGTAAGTAGAAGGGAGTAACAATTTCAAGAAGTAGATTAGTCTGATTTATTGCTCAAATTGTTTAAATTAGCAGTAAACTAAATGATAATTAAACCTATTGATGTGCTTCTGATTTTTATTTTCATTTTTTTTTTTAACTATGTCTAAGGATCTCATTTTATCCTTGTATTTCTTTGTACCGCTCCTTTCCTTCTAATAAAACTCATTTTCATCTTTTGTAATTGAAAATCTGCATAATTATGATTGAAAGTAAAAAGGAAAGTTGATTAACATTTGTTGCTATATTTTCATGTGTTACAGAGAAGGCGTCTAATCAGTCATGCAAATGCCAAGAGCAAGAGTGAAAAGTTCCCTCCCCCGCATGAAGATGGACAACTTGGCTTTCCTTTGGGATCTTCAAATCATATTGATCCAGATATTGTTCCTCATGATGTCTCTTTGGGTTCAACCTCATATATCTATTCAAAGGAACCATTCCAAGCTTGGTCAGGTCCCATTGGTGATTCTGCTAGCATTGGTGTCCCAAAACGGAAGAAACACACTGCAGGTGATGCATTGGATTTATCAAAACCATATAAAGGTGCCCTCAAGGATAAGGGTAAAGGAAAGAAAATCATAGTTTAGATATTGAGTACATTCTTAATTTCTTATAGAGTCAAATTTAAGAAAGTATATGACCCTGCTGCCTCATTTTTTGGTGGAGTCCAACTACTGCTGCATGTCTGCTTCCCAAGTGAAGTTAATTCCTTCTTTTCAAAGGGTGATACCATAAACCATTTTCTCCCATTTTTCAACCTTCATTTTTTTTTTTAGTAGTTTTTATTTCTTGGGTTTCATTTAGATAAAGATTTTTTTCCTGGGTTCAGTCTTTTGGTATGATAGAGAATTACTATGATGTACATTGTGATTTTTTTTTTTTTTTTCTCTTGTTAATATCTGAATTCTGTTTATTTTGTTGTGAATTGCAATAAATTTGAGATGTTTTTGTGTCCTCGTTTATGAGTCTAGGTGCTTACACCTACAGTTGTACTAAAAACCAAAATAATAGTAACTTCTTTGCTTTCTGTATTTAATTCTGTTCTTTTTTTTTGGCATTAATATCATCTCAAATAAGTTCTTATTATTTATCTTATTTTACTCAAAAGGAATAATATAAGTAGCAAGGAAGCTTAAGTTTTCCTGTCATGATTAGGGCTGTGCAAAAAAACTGGTTCACTTGCCCTGCCCTTGATCTGACTTTGACCCAACCCATAAATACCCATATTTTTTGAACTGGTTTAAATACTGACCCACTTTTATTTGGGTCAATTTTAGACCTGACTCGTTTTAATATTGACCCACTGATCCAAAACTTGACCCATACCTATTATGTAAAAAAAAAAATCACAATTACATTAAAAGAAAAGTTTTAACGTAAAACAATTACGTCAAAATTTTTCGTGGAAAATATTTTCATAAAAATTTTACAGATTTCAAATTTCTGCGAAAGTTTTCAACGGAAATATTTTCGTCATCAAAAAATTTTGACGGCAAAAAATTTCATCAAAATTCTATACAATTTCAAATTTTGGCGAAAGTTTTCAACGGAAATATTTTCATCATCAAAAAATTTTGACGGCAAAAAATATCGACGGCAAAAAATTCCATCAAAATTCTTTACAGATTTCAAATTTCGACGAAAGTTTTCGACGGAAATATTTTCGTCATCAAAAAATTTTGACGGAAAAAAATTTCATCAAAATTCTTTACAGAATTCAAATTTTGGCGAAAGTTTTCGACGGAAACATTTTCGTCATCAAAAAATTTTAACGGCAAAAATTATCGACAGCAAAAATTTCATCAAAATTCTTTACAGATTTCAAATTTCAGCGAAAGTTTTCGACAGAAATATTTTCGTCATCAAAAAAATTTGACGGCAAAAAATTTCATCAAAATTCTTTACAGATTTCTAATTTTGGCGAAAGTTTTCGACGGAAACATTTTTGTCATCAAAAAATTTTTACGGCAAAAAATTTCGACGGCAAAAATATTCATCAAAATTCTTTACAGATTTCAAATTTCAGCGAAAGTTTGCGACGAAAAAATTTTTGATAAATTTTTTGACAAAAAAAAATTTTCGTCGAAATTTTTAGCGAAACACATTTCCATCGAAAATTTTCAACTAAATATTTTCGTCAAATTTTTTGATAAAAAATTTCCATCAAAATTTTCCACGAAACACATTTCTATAAAAAAATTCCGTAAATTTTTTTGACAAAAAAAACATTTTGACGAAAAAAATATTCTGTCAAAATTCTTTAGAGAATCTAAATTTCGTCGAAAGTTTCAAATGAAACATTTCCCTCGAAATAATTTTCGTCAAAATTTTCGTCAGAACACATTCCCATCGAAATTTTGAACGAAAAACATTCCGTTAAATTTTTTGACAAAATTCTTTTTTCGTTTAAAACATTTGATGGAAGAAATCATTTTCGTCAAAACTGTTGACGGAAACTAAATTTCAATAGAAATTTTTTTTTTTGTAAAAATTTCGACGAAAAAATAATTTTGTGACAAAATTTCCGTCTTTTGCAACGTAAAAATTTAGACAAAATTTTGTGAGAAAACCAAGTCAAAAACGGGTCAGGTCAGATTTGACCCAGTTCAGAAACCAAGTGAGACCCACTTCAGAAACCAAGTCAGGTCAGATCCAAACTGATTTTGAACTAGTTCAACAAAATCCAATCCAAGTCAGACCTGACTTGGATCAAATTAAAGCGGGGCGGGTCAAAATACCTGACCTATAAAAACCAAGTTGGGTCGAGTCGGACAAAAACCTGACCCGACCTCACCCATCCACAGCCCTAGTTATGATTGAGGTGCCTATGTAATATTAAGAACTTGAGCTTGTGAAAAAGCATTCATAAAAGGGAGTATGAAACAAGAATGGTTAACTTTCTACGCTGTACAATCATGAATTCAAATGTGTGATCAAATAACAATAAGATTGTTATAGGTCAGTTGTGAAAGAGAAAAAAGTATGATACGAGAATTTAAAGGGTAATATGTTTAGATGGTGGGGTTATATTTATAAATTTTTTGTTTACAAATTTTTACAGATTATACTATGTTTTTCGGGCAAAATACTATGTTATACTATATTCTCTGGAGTATATAGTGTAATTTGTAAAAAATTGTAAAAAATTGTAAAAAAAATTTGTAAAGGTAGTATTTCCCATCTTTACAAGTCCTTTATGACTTGGGTTATAACAATCAACATAATATCAATGTTTTCTATAAAATTATTTCGGTAAACGAAAAATTTACAGTATACAATTACTTGCAAATCTCCACCATGTGCTTCTGTGGTCGTTCCCCTTCAATGATTTTTAATTTGAAAATTTATGTGCAAAATTTTGTATTGGCAGCCTGGTCCAGAGCATACTGATGCTTGGCCAAACAAAAGAAACAGAGAAATGCGAAGCACAAGATAATTTAGGTAGGAAGTGATTTTTATGTTTAAAAATAGGGAAAAATTTAGAAACTCCCTCGTGGTTTTACTTCGAATCACTTCACGTCGTATGTTTTTTTTTTTTAATCACTTATTTCCTATAATTTTTTCCATCCAAATCTTATCGTTAGAAACTAAACTAATATATCATTTCAAGGAGGGTTATATTGATAAAAAAAAAATTACAAAATTACAAACTACATTATATCTTACTAGTAAGACTTCACTCAAGAGTGTCTTACCCGTAAGATATGGTGTACTTTGTAAATAAAAAGTTTATAAATATAGCTTTTCCCAATCTTTTTTACCCTTCTTAGAAGAAAAAAAATAAACTAATGACAATAAAGAAAATAATAGAAGAACAAATATGTTAAAAACGTATAATACATACAAAATACTTAAAAAGTTAAAAAAAATAATAATAAAATAAGGCTAAATATGTTGAAAACTTACATCATAAAAAAAAGACTAAAAGTAAAAAAATAAAAATAGTCTTAATCAAAAAGAATAAAATAGACCGAAGACAAAAATATATATATAAAAAAAAAAGACAAAAAAGAAATCAATGTTGTAAATTTTGACATATTTGATCTTCTTTTCTTTTTTTACTTCTAGTCCTTTCTATCACTGGTAAAAGAAATAGAAAAAAACAAGAGAAAAAAAATTAATTTTATAAGTTTCCAATATATTTGGTCTTTTTTTTTTGTTCTTCAGTCTATTTATTCTTTTTGATTTAGATTATTTTTATTTTTTTTCTTTTAATATTTTCTATTGTTTCTAACATATGGGATATTATTTTTACTTTTATTATTTTTCCTCAATCTATTTTCTTATTTTCAATTTAGACATTTTTGATTTTTTTTTACTTTTAGTCTTTTGTACAAGTGTGGTAAGTTTCTGATATATTTGACTTTATTTTTTCTTTACTTTTTTCTTTTTTGTTAGACATTAAAAATTAATTAGAATTCTTATTGATTGAAAATTTTGAACTTGTAATTACCTTAATTTTTAACATACTTTGCCTAATAAGAAGAGTAAAATATGACAGATTAGTTAATTAAGGATGAGTTTAGAATAATAAAAAAATCATAAGAAAGTAAATGATTATAAAAAAATAGAGAATTAAGTGATTCAAAGCAATTTGAACTTTTCCTCTCTCTTTTTGGTAAACAAACTTTTCCCTTAAAAATAGTATAATTGTTAATAAAAAAAATTCATTATTATAAAAATGACAACAAATCATTAATTTGACCAACTGTTTAATAAAGATTATTTTATTAAAAAAACAATTTTAAAAGTAATTCATTACAAGTGAATGTGATGATAATATCCATGGTGATATGTCATAGTCGTAATGTTACTTACCATACTTAATATAATTTGAGTTAAATAATACTGCGAATATATTTATTTATTTTTTTGAAATATTTTATTTTCCAAATTAGAGTTGACCTAATCAGAAGGCGAAGAAGCAATCAAATCGAAAAATTTGAAAAAGAAGAAGATTTATATATATATATAGAGGCAGGATCATTTGACACCGGTGTCAAAAAAAAAGTTTGACACCTCGTCTTAGAGCCGTTAGATTAAAAAAAATCAACGATTCTGATTTGTAAGCATTTGACACCATTTATTTTTTTTAATCTAACGGCTCTAAGATGAGGTGTCAAACTTTTTTTTTGACACTGGTGTCAAAGGATCCTGCCTTATATATATATATATATATATATATATATATATATATATATATATATATATATATATATATATATATGATTGAGGTAGGATCCTTTGACACCGGTATCAAATTTGAAATTTGATACCTTATCTGAGAGTCATTAGATCAAAAAATATCAATGGTGTCACATACTTACAAATCAGAGACATTCATATTTTTTGATTTAATGCTCTCAGATGAGGTGTCAAATTTGAATTTGACATTGGTGTCAAATGATCCTACCTTTATATATAAATATATATATGTATTTAATATCATTAATAGAAGACAACTTAATTAAAATCAACTACAATATAATAATACGCAACTTTTGTTCATATTTAATGATTTTTTGTATTTTCTCGTCACAATATTTTCTCTCTTCTCCTATTTTGTGGAGGCAAAGAATATAAAAATCAACAAATATATAAGAAAAGTGTTTGTCATTTTAAATGACATAAAGTTATGTTATTTTAAGAGAGATAGACAAAAGAAAGTATTTTTTTATTTAAATTTAAATTAAAAAAAACCATCAACTTTCTCTCCCATGATTTTCATTCTTTGTGTGGAAAAAATATTTCTCCGGCAACTTGAGATAAGTTTATCTCCGGTCACCCCAAAACTATGTCGTTTTATTTATTTATTTCCTTATATTAATTGATTCACTTTTGAATGGTTTGATTCTGTTTTTCTCTCTCTTCCATTATCATCATTGATCCATCTTTGTACGGTTATGATTTAAGAGCCGGAGATAAAATTATCTCCGGCAGCTTGAGAAATGATA